GAAGGGAAGGAAGGAAGGAAGGAAGGAAGGAAGGAAGGAAGGAAGGAAGGAAGGAAGGAAGGAAGGAAGGACTATGGGGTCCTAGGTACTCTCTGAGCTTGGTGGTTTTCTTGCAGCCGTTTCATCACCAAGCTAGGTAACATCATCAATGCCAGAAGGGAATGGAATTTATGGAGAGGAGGAGGGAGGGAGGGAAGGAGGGAAGGAGGGAGGGAGAGGAAGAAAGACAGAGAAAGAGTAAGAAAGTAAGGTAGGGAAGGAGGGAGAGAGGAAGAAAGAGAAAGAAGGAAGGAAGGAAGGAAGGAAGGAAGGAAGGAAGGAAGGAAGGAAGGAAGGAAGGAAGGAAGGACTGAACTTGGTAGTTTTCTTGCAGCCATTTCATCACCAAGCTAGGTAACATCATCCGTAATGGAATGTTTCCAAGAAAACCACCAAGCTCAGAGACCCCATCATTCAATCATGAACTATAAATATTCTCTTCTATCAAGATCTTAGGGAATTCTAGTTGACCCAATGGGTTGTCCTTCTGGGCCTCTTCACGTTTCCCTCCTCACAGGCCGGCTGACTGTCTGCGTAATAAGCAACCCCTTTTACACCCCGGTGCAATGCAATGACGTTCTCCTCGCCCTTCCCCTCTTCTCCTCCTCCACCGCTACCCCACGTGTGTAGAACTGGCCTCTTCACCCCTGACATGGCTTTTGAGACCATTGTGAAGAAGCAGGTCAAGAAGATCAAAGAGCCCTGCCTGAAATGTGTGGACATGGTCATTTCGGAATTAATCAATACGGTTAGACAGTGCACCAAGAAGGTAAACCCGGGAAGTGGAGCATGGGACATGCTCGCGACCGCCACCACCACCACCCCCTGCCAGCTGAAGCACAGCATTTTGTGATCTAGGGTGCTGGTCCCGCCTGGCGCAAACGTCCTGCTGTTTTCTCCTGGGGTGCCCTTCTTCACAGCATGACTAGACCTGAGTGAACCCAGCTTGGAGTGATCCTAGCCAATCAGAAAGCCATGGCCAAGCTCAAGAGGGTGGACCCCGGGCTAAGTGTCTCTCCCATCAAAGTTTGGGGGTGGAATTCTGGAATTCTACAATTCTATGAGGGAGAATCTCCTGCTTGAGCAGGGGGCTGGACTAGAAGACCTCCCAGATCCCTTCCCAGGTTCTGTTCTGATTCGATGTGGAATCATTGCTTTCTATTAGCTTTAGAGCTGTTGTGTTCGTTGGTTTGTTGAAAATAATTGCTATTTTTCTCTCTTGGCTGTCCGGTGTCCCCATTTAACGCTTAGGAGACCTAAAGTTTGAAGGAACCAAATTGATAAGGCGGAAGTTGGGTTTTAAGAGTGGGTAAAATCGTTGCTGTGTCAGTGTGGTTTTCTGAGATTTGATAAGATCAGGTAGCTGCCTTTCAACTGGGTTGGCTTCTTTCTTTCTTTCTTTCTTTCTTTCTTTCTTTCTTTCTTTCTTTCTTTCTTTCCTTCTTCTTCTTCTTCTTCTTCTTCTTCTTCTTCTTCTTCTTCTTCTTCTTCTTCTTCTTCTTCTTCTTCTTCTTCTTCTTCTTCTTCTTCTTCTTCTTCTACTACTACTACTACTACTACTACTACTTCTCCTCCTCTTTTCTTCTTTTCAAAATTGAGATAGTCTACTGAAAATCCAGGGATGATCCTTTCCTTTGCCAAAGAGTTTTTGGAACTATTTGATCCATGTTGGCACAATGGTTCCACAATTTGGTGAAGGAAGATGAAATGATGTATTCCCTAGCGTAGCTAGTTCGTCTGAAATAGTATTAAGGTTTCCTGCCTGAGTGGGGGGTTGGACTAGAAGACCTCCAAGGTCCCTTCCAACTTTATTATTATTATTATTATTATTATTATTATTATTATTATTATTATTATTATTATTATTATTATTATTATTATTATTATTATTATTATTATTATGTTTTTAATGATAGTATTTTGGTATTTTTGTATTTGTTTTTATCAGGCTGTTAGCCACCCTGAGTCCGCAAGGAGAAGGGCGGGGTAAAAATTCAATAAATAATAATAATAATAATAATAATAATAATAATAATAATAATAATAATAATAATATTATTATTATTATTATTATTATTATTATTATTATTATTATTATTATGGATCATCACACAGTCAGCCAGATGTTCAGACTGGATTTGGCATTTTGTCTACCTAGCGACTCCTTACCAAGGACCTGGGATAGGCAGATGTGGATGTTTGATGGTATTACAGATATTATTATTATTATTATTATTATTATTATTATTATTATTATTATTATTATTATTATTATTATTATTATTATTATTATAGTTGGGTCCCGCTCATTTCTTTCCAGAATTCATCCCCAAATCTAAAAAAAAAAAAAAAAAA